ATGGATGGTAACCACGGTTATGTGCGGTAATTTGCGCGGGGGGTCCTTCTCGCCAGCCAGCCGCCACTCGTGCTATGCAATGGCAGGTCCCCTCCTGCTGGGTCCACGGCCCGATCCTCCCCCAACAAGACAGCCTCGTCTCCCCGTCACCCTTGGCCGCACCTGCGCACGCTTCACGCGCGGCCGACCCTGGCAAACCACGGGCACGCCGTCGCCAACCGCTCTTCAAGGGTACGACCTGCCTTCCGCTGGCTTCCTCCGACCTGCCGCAGGCCGTCACCAGCGGAGCCGTCCTCGTTTCACTTCCGCTCGCGTGCGGTGCGCTGCCGTCAGCTCCCGCCAGGGCGGGCTGCAAAACTTCTCGGTCCCGTGAACGCGAGGCTGCTTCTGGAGCGCCCTGCATGCCTACTTCAAAAAAAAACGATGGAGGTAAGCAGGGCGCCCATCTGCCGGTTCCCGTGTTCACTGCTGCCCTCTTGGGGCCCTGTCGTGGCCCTCCGAAGCGGCTCAGGAAGGACCACGGGGAGAAGAACCGAAGAACGAGAGAATACAGTGGGGGCCCGACCACAAGAATCCTTCCGCAAGAACCTAGACCCTGCGACCACAGGACGTCCATCGATTGTTGGTGGTTCTTACGCAGCCGGTTCCTACACAAGTGGTCCATATTGGCCCTCCCACTGGCGGCGTTACTTACGGTGATTCCCACTGGCGGCTGCCGCTGGCGGTGGCTCCTGCGGCGGTTCCAACGCAGGCGGGTCCCACTGGCGGTTCCCATGGCGGCTCCAGCGCACGCGGCTTCCTCTGGCAGCCGCTCCAACGCAGGCGTCCCACACGCAAGCCGCTCACACTGGCGGCGGCTCCTACGTAGGCAGCCACTACGCAGGAGGCTCACACGGATAGTCTTCAGTGGCGGCGGTTCCTAAGCAGGCGGCTCTATACAGGCGGTTCCTACGCAGGCGACCCCTTTTGCACGCGGCTCCCGCTGTCCTGCTGGCGGCGGCTCCTACGCGGCAGTTCCCACGCAGGCGGCTCCCACTGAAAGCGCTCCCACTGGCGGCAGCTCCTACGCAGGCGGTCTCCCACCTTTGGTGATGGTGTCCTTGGACCGTTATCCTTGTCGGTGCCGTCCTCTGGATAGCTGCCGCGTCTCCTCAGCCAACCAGTCACACAAGGCGGTGTGCAGCACTCCGTGACTGGTTTGGGCTTCGCAGAGTTCTGCAAGCCTTGTCTCGCGCTTCCCCGTCACAGCCCAGCCGTGCAGCATCAGGAATGTTTATACGCACATACATAACGGCCATACATGGTAATATGCAGCAGCAGCAACATGATAACCATCAGCATCCTCAACATCATCATCAGCATCATCATCATCAGCAGCAGCAGCATCATCAGCATCATCATGATCATGATCATCATCCTCATCATGAGCATCACCAGCATCATCATCAACAGCAGCATCAGCTTCAGCATCATCACCATCACATTTACCATCACCATCATCATCATCATCATCATCATCATCATCATCATCATCATCATCATCAGTAGCATCACCAGTATCAGCATCATCAGCATCACCATCACCATCAACATCATCAACAGCATCATCAGCATCAGCATCCACATCAGTATCATCAGCGTCATCGGCATCATCACCATTCCCATCATCATCACAATCACAAACACCATCACCATAGCCATCATCATCAGCATCATCATCAGCATCATCAGTATCAACATCGTCAACCTCATCATCAGTGCCATCCGTATCAGCATCAGCACTATCATCATTACCAACATCAACCTCATCATCGTCATCATCAGCAGCAGCATCACCTCCATCATGACCACCACCAGCATCATCATTGTCATCAGCATCGCCATCACCATCATCATCTTATCATCCGCATTAGGATCAGCAGTACTATCACCACCATCAGCATCACCTGCACCATCAGCACCACCGCCACCACCACCACCACGACCATCAGCATCATCATCGTCGTCAACCGCATCATCATCAGCCCCCGCCGCAGCATCACAATCCGTATCATCAAGCACATACTCAATAGTCATCTGCATCATACTCTCAATCACCAGCATCAACATCAACAGCATCATCACCATCATCAACAACACTAACGACAACATAGCCACCACCAGCATCACCATAATCATCACCACTTCCAGCACCACAATCACCGCCGTCATCAACACCATCATAACCGCCATCAGCATCACCATCATCAATATCATCATCAACATCACCAGCTTCAGCATCATCCGCAGTAGCAGCAGCGGCAGCTACCACACCATCACCAGCACCATCACTATCATCACCCCACGAGCACCACCATTAGCATCATCGTCATCAACTTGTTCATATCCTCCCTCCCGCTCCCCTCTCCCAATCCACATCGTGCCCCTATTATCAGCATCCGTCCAACCTTCTCCTCCTCATCTTCCGCCACCTCCTACGCGTCAGATGGGTCATTGGGGCACCATGTCCCGCTGACGCAACACGTGGCACTGACATGATCGCTCGTGCAGAAGCGGGAAAACCACCACACATCAATAATTAAGCCAAGGGCCATTCCCCCTCATCTAAAAGCTGAGAGATCAAGCGTCCGTATTCCGAGGGCCCCCCATGTAAGCCGCGACTGGGAACGTCACTTTCTTAGCGCCGAACGCCCCACACTGACGGCAGCAAATCCGACCCTCATCTCCGCACCCGAAACGGCATGACACGTGAGCCAAGCACGCTGAGCGATGCAGGCCAGAAGGTGGAGAGGCACACACCGCGCCCCTCGGACAATCACGAATGATGTGGATCGCTTGCCCGTCTTGATGATATCATGCCCCTGGGGCTCAGGCACCAGCTCGAGGGCTGCAGGCGGCCTGAACCCCATTGGCCCTGAACCCGTCAATCATCCCCAAAGAATTAAGTCACCTGGAAAGCGCGCCCCCAAAACCATGCCAAAAGAAGGGCTCAGCCACGGATGGTAGAATCGTGCGCCTTGCTATCCTCGAGGAGGCGGGGGGGGAGATGGAGGCGGGCTCCGACTGTAGCCAGTCTGTCAGTCCCGCTTGCCCCTTCCAAGCCCACCACGCACATCCTTGGGCGCTTGCCTTGGCCCAGGATTGGTTGCCGTCCTTTGCATCCTTGGGAGCTGCGGAGTGTGGCATCTAGAACTTCTGGCGTGACATGCCGCATCGTTTTAAAGATATGCCTCCAGAGTTCAGCGTACTCCTCCATCTCCTCCTCCGCCTCCTCCCCCTCCTCCGCCTCCTGCCCCCCTCTCCGCCCCCTGCCCCTCCCGCCCCGATCGCCCCCCAAGCCCGTCCTAGAGAAAAGAGGGGGGGCAGACGACCTTCGCCGCATATTCGAGGGCGAAGTCGCCGCCGTGCGCCTCGGGCAGCGGCGGACGGCGAGGAGGTCTCCCCCCCATCATTACATCTACACCCCCTTGCCTTATACACAGTTCCTTGTCCTCCATCCCTTTTCCCTTGCCCCCTTGCCCCTCCATTCCTTGCCCCCTTGCCCCCATTGCCCCCTTCCCCCTCCGTCCCGTTCCCCTTGCTCCCTTGCCCCCTTGCGACAAGGAAGACCCCCCTTGCCCGTCCATCCCCTTTCCTTATGCACAGCTCCGTCCTGTCATGCCCCGAGGCGTTTTTGGTAGGGCGGGCCACGAGCTTCGCGCCAGATTTCTTAGACGAAGCCAGAACGAGGATAACATCGGGTGAGGATACATCGAACATCTCTGGCATCCAGTGGCTCTGGCGGATGCCTCGGGCGCCGCGGCCTTCTCAGAGCGTTCCTGAACGCGCTGGAACGAGTCCTACTCGCCCTGACCCCGTGCGAACTTCCTCACCACTGATGCTCCTGACGCTTCAAAGTTGCAACACGTTCCAGGTTGGAGGGCGGCCCGTTTTGATGTGGTTCTCGCCTTGGCGCCGCCGCGCATTCGTCTTCAACGCTTGCAGAACAGCTGCAATGATGGAAGGCGGCTCCTTTTCAAAATGTGGATCTCGCTTCAGCGCCGCGCGCATTCGCCGCGAGCGTGCGCCACAACTTCACAACATCAGATGGTCGAAGTCCCAGAAATGCTTTTCTGGGAAGATTTGGACTGGTCCGGACGCAACAGTCATGTGGATGTGCCTTTGCAGGCCCAGGAATTCTGGCACGAATTCGGCCTGCCAGGGCGCAACAGTCACGTTGATTCGCGGCGCTGAAGCCCTCGAAAAGGTGTTTCGGCACGCTAGAGGAGTGTCAGACGGTTGCCTTTCAACATGGCAGTCCCCGCAACGCCTATGTGTATATATATATGTGTGTATGTGTATATATATATATGTCGTGACCTACAAAGAGGGAACTTGGAAGGAGGGTTTACTGCAACATCGTTGGTGCGTCTTGGGCTTGCACTGGTCATCCTCATCCTTCCCCCCCTCCTTCCTCCATCCCTTTCCCTTACAATTCAATCCTCTTTGTCGCATCCCCAGACGTGTCGGCAAGGCGGGCCGGGCGTTTCGCTGAAGTCCGCCTCACGATTTAGGACCAGAAGGTTGAAATGTACAACGACTTAAAGGATGGAGGGCGGCTGGTTTTCAACGTGTGGCTTTCGCCTCCGCGCCGTGCAAATTCGTCTTAAGCGCTTATAGCAGCTTCAATGATGGAGAGCGGCTCGTACTTACAATGTGGTTAAAAGTCGTCTTACAGTCGTCCAGGTTGGCACCGAGTACACTCGTCTAAATAGTCTACACGGCTTCAAGGATGGAGGGCGGTTTCTTTTCAAAATGTGTCTCTCGCCCTAGCGCCGCGCACATGTGTATCAAACATTTACAATAGTTGGAAGTGCTCGTGAGGTTGATGTCTCAAGGATGCCCTTCTGGTACCATCTAGGACTATCAGGACGCATCAGTCACATTGATTCGCTTGTTGAAGTACTAGGAACGGCGTTCTGGTACGATTCTGAACGATCAAGACGCAATAGTCACGCTGATTCGCAGCACTGAAGTGCCAGGAATGGCGTGTTGGCGCGATTGAGGAAGTCTCAGACGGTTGCGCTTCATTGGAACATTCCCCGAAACATGGATACGTGCGTTCTTGCAGGGGCCTATCAAAGGGGATGTGTTGGAAGGGTTCATTGCAAAATCGTTGATGCGTCTTGGGTTTACACTGGACCCCCTCCTCCTCATCGTCATCCGCCTCCTCCTCCTTCTCACCCCTCCTTCCTCCCTCCTTCCTCCTCCCTCGGCCTTCCTCCCCCCATCCTCTCCCTCCTCCTCCTCCTCCTCCGCACCCTCCCTCCCTCCCTCCCTCCCTGACTCCCTCCCTCTTACTCCTCCTCCTCCTCCTCTTCCTCCTCCTCCTCCTCCTCCACATCCTCTTCTTCCGTCTCCTCCTCCTCCTCCGCACCCGACACTCCTTTTCCTCCTCCTTCTCCTTCTTTCTCCTCCGCCACATCCTCCTCCTCCGCATACCCCTTCCTCTCCTCCTCCTGCTCCCGCCTCCTCCTTCCTCCTCCTCCTCCTCCTCCTTCCTCCTCCCCTCCTCCTCCTCCCCCTTCCTCCCCATCACTCCTCCCTCCTCCACCTCCTCCTCCTGCCTCCTCCTCCTCCTCCTCCTCTCCCTCCTCCTCCTCCCCTCCTCCTCCTACCCCATCCTCCTCCTCCTCCTCCTCCTCCCCTCCTCCTGCTCTCCTCCTCCTCCCTCCTCCCCTCCCTCCTCCTTTCTCACCTCTCCTCACCTCCTCCTCCTCTCCTCCTCCACCTCCTCCTCCTCCCCACCACCTCTCCTCCTCCACCTCCTCCTCCTCCTCCTCCTCCTCCTCCTCACCTCCTCCTCCTCCCTCCTCCTCCTCCCTTCCTCCTCCCTCCTCCCCCTCCTCCTCCTCCTCCTCCTCACTCCTCCTCCTCCTCCTCCTACCTCCTCCTCCTCCTCCTCCTCCTCCTCCTCCTCCTCCTCCTCCTCATCCTCCTCCTCCTCCTCCTCCTCCTCCTCCTCCTCCTCCTCCGCCTCCCCCTCCTCCCCCTCCTCCTCTCCCTCCTCCTCCTCCCTCCTCCTCCTCCTCCTCCTCCTCCTCCTCCTCCTCCTCCTCCTCCTCCTCATCATCATCACATCATCCTCATCCTCATCCTCATCCTCATCCTCATCCCTCATCCCTCAATCCTCCCTCATCCATAAGCGCAGCATCTGCTAATCAGCAACATCATCATCATCATCATCATCATCCTCATCATCATCACCCATCATCATCATCATCATATCATCATCATCCTCATCATCATCCTCATCCTCATCCTCATCCTCATCCTCATCCTCCTCATACCTATCCTATTCCTCATCATCAATCACATCATCAGCAGCATCATCGTCGAATCATCATCATCATCATCATCATCATCATCATCATCATCATCATCATCATCATCATCATCATCATCATCATCATCATCATCATCATCATTATCATCATGTTCATCATCATCATCATCATCATCATCATCCACCTCCTCCTCCTCCTCCTCCTCCTTCTCCTCCCATCCTCATCCTCATCCTCATCTCCTCATCATCATCATCATCATCATCATCATCATCATCATCATCATCATCATCATCATCATCATCATCATCATCATCATCATCATCATCATCATCATCATCATCATCATCATCATCATCATGTTCATCATCATCATCATCATCATCATCATCCACCTCCTCCTCCTCCTCCTCCTCCTTCTCCTCCCCCTCCTCATCCTCCTTGTTTCTTACTCCTTTTCCTCCTCCTGTTCCTCCTCCTCCTTTTCCTCCTCTTCCATCTCCTCCTCCTCCGCGTCCTTCGGAGCTGCGAAGTGTGACAGCTAGAGCTTCTGGCGTGACCTGCAACATCGTTTTAAAGATCTGCCTCCAGAGCTCAGCTTACTCCTCCATCTCCTCCTCCTCCTCCTCCCTCCTTCCTTCCTTCCTTCCTTCCTTCCTTCCTTTCCCTTTCCCCTCCCTCCCTCCCTTCCTCCCTCCCTCCCTCCCTCCCTGACTCCCTCCCTCCCTCCCTCCCTCCCTCCCTCCCTCCTCCTCCTCCTCCTCCCCTCCTCCTCCTCCTCCTCCTCCTCCTCCTCCTCCTCCTCCTTTTCCTCCTCCTTTTCCTCCTCCTTTTCCTCCTCCTTTTCCTCCTCCTTTTCCTCCTCCATCTCCTCCTCCTCCTCCTCCCCCTCCTCCTCTTTCTCCTCCTCCTCGCAGCAGACGCGAAAATTGAGCCACCACTTGCGGGCAAACCTGAGCGAACCCGACCTCGCCGACGCAATTGTGGTGGCCTGGCAATTCCGCCTAAGGTTTGGATCAGAGGTCGTGCCCCTGCAATATTCCGGCGGTCACTCAGAGGTCCGGATCTCCAAGGGAGAGGGCCAGCATCAGGCTTGCATCGTGCTCCAGAAAAGGACGGGGTGCAATTCGCCTGTGAAAATAATGACGTATTCCATATGCAAGTTGCAGACGCCGGAGCATTGCGGGGTGCCGCCGTGGGCAGCGCGTTCCCCAGCCTCACCCAATCGGGCTCTTTCGCTGCTCTGAAGGTGGCGTCACTCGACCTGGGCTTCCCCCGGGCCAGTGAGTGTGGGACCCACGCGTTTCGCCGAGGCTGGGCGGGCGAAACTTTGAAACCAGGCGGCTTGACCAGCCCTTTCTTTAGCGGGGGATTTGGAGGGGCGTCGCTGCTCTCGGCTACAGGTCTGCGCAGGCGACGGGCGCCCTCCTGGCCGCAGAACGGCTGGTCGAGTTCTCAGGCTCTTCGTCCGGTGACGAGCGCGCGCGCGCGCAAGGAGAAGTATGCGCTTTCGAGGTGCGCGCTGGCGCGCCCGTCCGCCGGACCCCAGGCTTCTCGCCGTCTCCCCGAGGCGTGGCCCGCTCGCCAGCGGTGGGCATGGGCGCTGGGGGGGGCGAGCCGATCCACAGCAATGGGCCCCGACGACAGGTTCGGTCGCGCGCCCCAGCGCCAGCAGCGATTCGAGTCACTCGCCCTAAGCATGCGCGGTCACTCGGAGGCTGCGTAGCATCCTCATGATCCTTAAATTCCCCAGGGCTTGAGAGCAGAAGATCAGCAGACTTTCGGGGGTCCATTTGTCGCTGGTCCATTCGGGGCATCGTGGCTGATCGGCAGGCTGCGGGCGGGGGGGCATCGCGGCATCGCACGCCTGCTCGTTGCCCCTGCGAGGGGTTCGGCCACCGCTTCGCGGTTGCACTGCCAGGCCCTCGGCTCCTGGTGCCCTGCGCCGTGCCGTGCCATATGGGTGTCGTGTCACCACCCGGACTCCGGGACGGGATAGCAAATACCGGGCTCGCGGTCTCGTCCCGTGGTGTTGGTGGCCGCTGGCGGCTGCCTGTCGCACCCTTGTCCCTCTCACCATGTGCGGG